ACCAAAACTGAGAAACAGATACAGAACAGGTTATCTTTACTACAAAGTTATTCTTAATTTTATGGAACAATTGGCTAAATGTTTTCTTTTTTAAAAAATAAAGAATCCCAGAAGCTGGGCACTGGTGGCTCATACCTGTAACCCTAGCTATACAGGAGGTGAGATTTAAAGATTATGGATCAAGGCCAGCTCTGGCAGGAAAGTCTGTGAAACTCTTATATCTAATTAACTACCAGAAAACTGAAGTAGTACTGTATTTTGACTCAGCCAAATGGACTGAAGGTAAGACTTAAGAAAAGTGATTCTCTTGTCTTCAATTTTTTACATTAGCATTAGTGAAAAGCAACATTTTCTTTCTATTTTCCAATGAATTTCACATATCTTATAATATGGTGAATTGCTTATATCAAATGCCATTGTATAACAAGACACATAGTTATATCCTGTTAAAAGTAAGGAGTCCATGGGAATGGGTAACAAAAGCCCTTTTAATATAAAGGGAATGAGATGAGGAACTAGGTTAGAAACAAGAGGCAAATTCAAGAAGGAAGACTTTGATACTCAAGCACCCATCTACAAGATGGTAGAGGAATGGGTTAACAACAGCCTGTGTAAATGCAGCCAGCTTTCCCCTGTCTGCATTACATCAGTGCCAGTAAGGCTAGTCTGATCCCAGATAACCTCAATAGAAGCATGCAGGAAAAAAAAGAAGCAATTACTTCATCATTTCCAGAGGTCATACTAGGATTATGGAGGTTAAAATCTAAGAGGAGATATAAGAGGGTAGTTGCCATGGTAAGTTCCATAAATCTCAGCAGAAGTAGACTCTGATTAGCCTTGGAAAGGGGTGTTGATAGGGGTGGGTGGATGATAAATAATGTGCTGGTAGGTAGATTTCTAAATGGATTGAACATACAGCCAGTCTTCTGAATCCTGGTGTTCTACATAGTGGATTTAGCCAGGCAATGATGGAAAGTATTTGTAGAAGAAAAAAAAAAAGCAAATAAAAACAACCACATTGTGCATAGTTAGCCCTGCCATGACTGTTTTCTTGTCATTAGTCCCAAAACAATATAAAAGAACATAGAATTTATTCTAAGTAATCTACATATGAGTTAAAATATACAGAAGGATCTCTGCCTTATGCTAATACAACACAGTTTTATAAGAGATTTGAACATGGAGAGTTAGATATTCATGATGGTTCTGAGTCAATTCCAACAGGTGTCAAAGGCTGAGAATAATCTGAAGTGCCCAGGAGGCAAAACCAGAAACAACATATAGTATCAAAGACTTTCTTGCTGAGTTCAGGACATAGGGGAGTGGGAACCCGATGTTGGATTATATTTAAATTGCCCCCTCTCTCAAGATTTCCTATCGGGGTAATCTAGATGAGTTACTAGGTTTCCTTGTAACTTTGTGGCTATAACTCAATGCTGGATTGTAAAATAAGGTCAATTCACATGACAGAAGAGGAATGTAGTTTATGTTTCTAATAGTAGACAGCCATTGTCTCCTCCATTTTCACAAGTATCCTAAGGGGAACGCAGTTAGGCAGCTGTCCAAGGTGCTGAAGGAGGTGGCCTACTCCAGCTTCTGTGGTTCTTATGTTTGCTGGGTTTTGTTGTTGTTGTTGTTGTTTGTTTTTAAATATCTGGTTCTAGTATTTCAGCTTTAATATTTTCTTTTCTCCCCCTTCCCATTTTTATTTTTGCAATACTGGAGTTTGAGCTCAGATCCTTGCTGTTTTTAGGCAGGCACTAGCACTTGAGCCACTACATTAGCCCCTTCATGAATTACTAATTTTCAAGACAGGTTCTTACTTTAGGGTTGGCCAGGACTGTGATCCTATCTGTGCTTCCCTTTGTTGCTGGGATGTATGTCACTTTGACCGGGTCATTGGTTGACATGAAGTCAACAAACTTTTCATTTTCAAACAATAGCCCCCAAACTCTGCTTCCAAACAGCTTGGATTACAGGCTTGAGCCTAGTTTCTGCTTCTTACATAAATCAACACCTCTCCTTTCCCCATATACACCCCTAGACACTTAAATAAAACAGACAGGGAAATGCATAGGAAACACGTCCATCCCAGCAGTAAATAAATCCATTTTGCTTTCAAAGGCTGGCCTTGGTACATATAAACTTATATTGTTTGGATGGATTGTTATTTATAGTGGAAACCAACTGTTCTGCAGAAGTGATGTGGATTTGCTTGTGTTTTCCATGGTACATATAGATCCTGAAAGGTTTTAAGAATATTAGAAGGTGGCTCAGTGGTAGAGTGCTTGCCTTGCATTTATGAGGCCCTGAGTTCAATTCCTCAGCATCACATAAGCACAAAAAAAGCCAGAAGTGGCTCTGTGGCTCAAGTGGTAGAGTGCTAGCCTTGAGCTAAGGAGCTGAGGGACAGCGCCCAGGCCCAGAGTTCAGGTCCCAAGACTGACCAAAAAAAAAAAAAAAAAAGAAGAAGAAGATCATTAGAGAGTGTTTTTACAGCAAAGTGAAGGGAACAGTGAAGTAGAGGGAACCTTAAATGCTTTATGGCCTTCAGTGAGTTCAGGAGCTGTGTGGTGGTAATAAACCTGGTCTCTTCCATTATCTATTTGTGTTGCCTTTCTCTTGTTATTTGAATTTTGATCCTTCAGTTTTTCCTATTTATAGAGAAAATAATAGCACTATCCTTTAGGGTTGTGGACATGACATAACTTCATAGACATCAAAAACTTCATAAAACAATACCAGTTGGATACAAAAATACTAGTGCAATTTTATATTGTATTTGGGTTCAAGATTAACTTTATGTTTGATAATTTGCTAAGACTCACATGACACTGAAAAAATATGACACTTACAGTTATAGTATATTATAGCAAAAAAGATACAGATTAAAATGAGTGAAGGGAAAAGATACACAGGTGGAGTCTAGGAGAGACTAGGGTCTTCCACATACAGTCTTATGAATAGAGCTCAATTCTCTCAGCAATAATGATGGGCAAGTGTGTAAAATGTCAACCAGGGGAGTTTCCTTGTGCTTAGGTTATTATTGGGCGTTCGGACCCAAGGGCAATATGTGCCTGTACAACTGGCTTCAGCTACTTACTTCAACCTCTATCCCCACTCTCCTGATCAAAGAGGCCAGAGTGATAGGTGTGATCTGAAGCTAGGCATAGAAAGCAGTCATTCACATAAATCATATTGTTAGCATGAATTACTACCCCTGCCCAAAGCCAAAATATACAAAGACAATCTTAGTGGGTAAGATTTTCCAAGTGCTCAGAGGAGTTAGTTTAAGCACAGTCCTGAAGACTGTTGGATGTGCAGGGTTTGGATAATTCCTATCTGCAGGGTTAACAATTTATATCATCTATGGTATTATATTATATACATATTATATACAAATCAGATACATATTAACATATCATATGTATTATGTGCATGTATGTATATATTACATATTTATATATATATTTATTTATATACCTCATTTTAACAACCCGAATTGTCAAATTTCATGTTTAAAAAATTAAGTTGTAGCATGTGAATATTATTAGACTGTATAATATATAGTTCTTTCAACTTCTGTAATCTAGCAAATACTTAAAGTATTAATCCATGTTATAACTATTTTTAGGAAACAAACCAGTATTATCCCAATATAAAGAACACACCAGAAAATAAAAAGCAGTACTACTATTGCCATAATGGTGGCCCCATAAATTTTCACTTCTGGGTTTGAACTCAGGGCCTCACGCTTGCTAGGTAGGCACTCCACTACTTGAGCCACAGATAACCAGTCTGTCTTTGTAAATAACTGTGTTATGTAGGCAGCACTTTCGTTTTACAAGCAAAAAATAAAAGGTCTTGAGAGTTTCAAGAATTCTAGCATCCCCGACAGTAAAAGGCAGAGCCTGCCTAATTTCACCATCTGATTTCAAAGCCTAGTCTTTACATCATGCAAAATATTTTCTGAAGACATTGAAAACTAGAAGTTTAAAAAGTACACAGAAACAACTTTAATACAAAAAAACTGTCTAACTATGTGCAGGCTCATGCCTATAATCCTAGCTGCTCAGGACTGAGATCTGAGGATCGCAGTCCAAAGCAAGCCTGGAGAGAAAAGTCCCTGTGATACTCTTATCTGCAATTAACTCAGAAACCAGAAGTGGTGCTGTGGCTCAAGTGGTAGAGGAACAGGGCCCAGGCTCTGAGTTCAAGTCCCTCAACTGACAAAAAAACAACAAAACTATCTATACATATCAAGACAGACAGACAATATGTAGACACTGGGTCAGAGATGTGGCTAGAATACATGTCCCTTAGCATCAGTGGTAATTCTGCAAAGATCCCAAAAGGCCAAGGTGTCTCCTACCACAAAAATGTGGTGTCAAAACACAAGAAAAACCAAGCAGACACAAACCCAAAGGGAAATACTAAGTAGTTACTTAGATTGTCTTGATTAAAAGGGGGAATGGAAGATGAAAATGCCCTCAAAAGATGGTTGGGTCTTCATCCATCCCGGACAGATGGACGGGGTCCTGGGAAAGGTAAGTGCGCTGTTCACCCATTCCCAGCCTCACTTAGCCCCGGAGACAACCAGCTGCAGCAGCGGGAAGTCAAGTCAAGCAGGAACTCATTTATTACCACACAGCAAGCACTTTTTAAAGCAAAAAAAAAAAAAAGCGTGGCATGGAAGAGGAGGGAAAGGAACCAACCAATCACTGTAGAGGTCACCCTAACATGCGCCTAAGCTTTCTATACTTTTCCTGCTGTCAGGGAGCTATTCACACACTTTGCCTGGTTGTGGTATCCAATCAGATTTTAACATAAACAACTCGGGCTCTGCCCACTCAACTCCCTCTCAGCGCCATCTTTGCTGCCCATGTGCCCTACAAAAGATTGTCTTGATTAAAAAGGGGAATGGGAAATGAAAACCAGTTTAAAAATTGTTGACCAGAAATTGTTTGTAATTTTGTCTTTTTTCCTTTCTCTCTTGTTAGATCTCAGTCTGTGGTAGAAGCTGGAACCCTGAAACATGAAGAGAAGGGAGAGAACGAGAACACTCAGCCTCTCCTGGCTCTGGACTGAGCCCTGAGTCACTGGATGGTTCCAGCTACCCAGGAAGCACACGTATAACTGATTTACAGAGACACATGCGTTCCACTTGATACAAGATCCTCCACTCCTACCCTCGCAATGACTGTCACTAGCCATCCATTTGAGCAGCCAAAGTTGGACAAAGATTTGAGAGATTCTTCTTCTTCGTTTTTTAAGTGAAGGGATGGGAGGATGAAACAAGACATTCATGTAATAAAGAGAAAGATTCTCCCACCTTACATGTTTATGGTATCAAATGAATTTGAAAAGTAAAAAACGCTAAATTTAATGCACACACTACATTAGGACTAGGATTTTTCTGAGGACTCACACAAGGTTCCTCTCCAGTTTTTACAAATTAAGATACAGTGCATTTAAGTCCATCAGTTAAAACTGGGCAGACATGATTGTCTAGTTCAATAGAGTACAGAACTCTGAGACCATAGTATCTCCAGTTATTTCCATTCTTATTGAATTTTCTCTGACCTCATCACCAGCATTGAATTTTTCAGCTAAACATGTTCTCATAGATCTGGCTATTTATAAAATTTTCTTGTTTCGATATCCTGCAAACAAATGCTTTTGGCATCACATCTTTTGTCAGGCCACCAGCTGACTTCCATGAGGTGTCTTTTAAAGAAGACACTTGTAATTTGCAATAAGATTATTTTATCATAGCAGCATGATTTTCCACGAGCATCTCGAGAACCCATCAATACAGTGTGTGTCTGCAGAGAGGCGGTGTCTTGTTGAAAACACATATCAGTGATTAATGAATCCATTCAAGCTGACTCACTTGGGTCACTACAGTAAAGACAAGTTCTACCAAGCCCTTTAATCTCCTAGCCTCCTACGATCATCAAATTGGAGAAAGGGCCCAGCTACTGCTGAGACAGTCAACCATGGAGGCAGACCTTAAGGATAGGTAAAATGAAAGTATAAAAATAAGAGAAGATTAGGAATGCAGGATGAAATGCCAAAGATCATTTTATTGCTTTACCTATTCTCCTTAGAAACAGACTTCCAACTACCCACAGAAAGAAAATCAATTATGAAATAAAGTTATATCATAGATACAATATACTTATTTATGTGTAACATTTCCAAAAACAAATTGTACCTTTTCTGATATCTCTTATTTGCCCAGCCATCTTTATCTTGTGGACATTTATTAGGATGACCAATTGGTGCTCAATGTCGGGGGGAAAAAATCTAGTTGTTAATGGGCAGGAAAATATGAATGCATTTTAAGTATTTGAGAATATGAATTAATAACTAAACAATTCAAAGGAAAGGCAAGTCATTCAAATAGCTACTATCATTCCCAAAGGATGTTGTATATCATAACCACTTATCACTCTCTTTTCCTATGGATTTGCTGATTTAACTTTTTTTCTTTCTGGTAGAGAATAATAACAGATGTCACATTTATATTCTACCCATGAAGAACTAAAATCAAGAGAATTAAAGGTATTTTTCCAACAATTACATCACAGTATAAATAAGACCAATTAATTTTGTGAAAATATATCAACTCACAAAATAATAATATCTTGAAATAATACTCTCCATACAGTGGCTGAAATAGTTTTCTTATGTGTGAAGCCATAAATAAAGAGAAATGGAGAATTAAAGTGAATTAGAAAATCCATTTTATTGCTTGGGATTATAAAACAGATGTGGGATCCAAGTATTCAAAATACCATTGGAGCTGATGATTGCCAGCCCTTTGGAACTACTAGTGTTTCTGATTTTTAATTGGCAATATTTAGAATCCTACTGTAGTGACAGGATTTTAAATATCATATTACACTTATTAAGTCAAGAGGTAGTTAATACTCTTAAACAATTTCATCATATGAATGTAAGATGCTGGTCCAACAATGAGAACTTAGTTAGGGTTTGAATTTTGTTATGTGTATGCAATATACATAGGAGAATAAAATTCAACAAGTGAGACGAATGTTACTACATGAACACTGGATTGTATTGATTGTCCTTTGTCAGTCATTTCTTCTGTTTAATAAATATTGAAGGACACAAGCATCCTTTTATTTTTCAAGAGCTTTTTTTTTCTTTTGGAGTTTGATAATGAACCTAGATATATTTCTGTTTTAATGGGATTTTTTTTAAGCAATGGCAAAATCAAAAGTACAAAATAAATATTGCAGGAACAGGACAAATGATTTGTAAACTCTTGTACTAAAAGGCAATGTCTATAAGGTCAAAAGAAAGGGTCAACTTCATGCCAAACAATTTCCTTCTATGAAATAAAGATGCTTTTCCCCTTAGATGCAGAAGAAAACACTGGTGTTTTTTCTACTTGTGCATGAAATCTGGTGACCTATATGCCATGTCTGCAGCATTTTTGTTGTTGTCTTTGTTGTTCAGATTGGCTTGAAATTCAGTGCATGAATATCTTTACAATCTTAAAGCTAGCACTTTAAGCTAGCTTTAATTATAAAATACAAAATCAAATACATTAAGACTTTGCTAAATCCATGAACGGGTCATCATACTTACAATGGGTAGGCAAGATGACTTTCAACTGCTATTTCTACACCAGAGATAATATTTAAAAGCAAATATGGGTATAAATTGCTATTTCAAAACAGTGATTACAGGGCAGCAGTTCTTCATGCCTGGCGGATGGAAGTCTCTTTAAACCCTTTCAAAGAGGAAAGCAATATTGACTGTTTTACTCCCAAGACAAAGACCCTAGCACATTTGGGAACCATCTACTCTGCTCTTATCATATTTACAAAATTGTGATGAAAATGGTCTCAAGGAGCAAAGGGCTCTCTTCTTATCACTCCCATAAATCTACCCACAGACAAAGACACTGCAGATTTCCAGGCTCTGTGTCACAGGCTCTGTTGAATTCCACGACACAAATTTTACTTCCACAAATTTTATACGCCCTCCCAAAACTAATACTTGTCACTAAAAAAAAAATTGTATAGGTGGCATTTTTATACCATAAAGGTTGGTACAGTTCATAGGTACCGGCATCACTACATTTTTTTTCTGCATTAAGAACATAAAATAGTCTCTCTCATGAAGGTCTTTTCCTAAAAAGAAGTAAGAGAGAAGTCTGAGTTTGTCAGGAAGGTTGGCATTCAAAAGCTAGCAGTAAAGTATTTACACAGCTTGTCCTTAAAGCCAGCATGAAGGTAGTGAGTGGTTCATGATGGCAAAATAATTCAACTTTCTTAGAAAAATATAACTGCATAGAAAAATTATAAACTAAAGCAATTCATTCACAGTTTCTATGTATGCTGTACATTAACTCGGACCCTATGCTGTGTGGAAACAGGTATCTTTGGCTGGCAAGGCAGAAACAATCAAGTGTTCAACTTAAATACTGGCATCAGAACAGAGCTGTCACAGAGTGACATCGCAGCATGGGTGATGCACAGCAGGGTGGTGTCTAAATGAAGTGCAGCTGAAACTTTTCAAGCTTCCTGAATGAAGACAAGGGAACTAAGAGCCATGGTGTTTGAACTTCTGTCTCCACATCCAAAGAGAACCAGAAGGGCAGCTTCTCTCAAGCTGAGAGGCACGGATTTCTGCTAAATTGCAGGAAGGCTGCGTTTCTGCTGGGGTGTCAGCTCAGGGTGCCACACGTCCACGATGAATATCAACCGGAAAGATGAGGCATCCTGCCATACTTCATGCTCAAAGGAGTCATCAAAAATGAGCACTTTGCCTTCTTCCCATGTCCTAGAACAGAAAAAGATGCATTTTGTTAGTACAAAAAAATTTTTTTTATTGTGTTCCTGTACCTGGGTTTGAACTTGGGGCCTGGGGACATTCATTAGCTTTGGTACACATCAAGGCTGTCACTTTGCTACGTGAACCACAGCTCTACTTTCAGCTTTTTTGGTGATTAATTGTACGCAAGAGTCTCATAGAAGCTGCACACTAAGGCTTGGACTCTCTACTAGGAGGCAGGAACAAATTCCACACTAATTCTTTTCCAGTCATTGCCAAATGTCTCACATGAAGGTAGGAGATGAGGGGAGTTATTCTCTTTATTCCAGACGAGAACAGTTGATACACCGAAGGAACCTAATTGTAATATTTCCAGCTTATTTCACAACTGATAAAGTAACTAATATTTGCAAGTTCAGAACCAAATCTCTCCTTCTACTACCCACCTGTCTATTTCCCCAGTTGCAACACCCACTGACATCTCAAGGTTAGCAACTTGCATTCTGTAAATGCATGTTGCCTCTGAGAGTAGATAGAGCTCCACCCAAGGGTAAGAAAGGCAGAAAGAGAGACTCAGGAGCAAATAACAGGGTATGTATTCAGAACTATGCAAAATCAAAATTAAACAAAAGCTAAGTACAAAGAAAAAAAGGCAACAAACAACAAAATTCCAACTTTCCCAAATGGGAAATTATTTATAGCTTAAAAAGTTCGTTTTCTTTGTCAAAAGGACTAAGACTGCCAGTGAGTGTCATGGACAGGCCTACAATATAGGCAGAAGAAAAGGGGTGGCAAACTCCCAATACAAAGCAGTGTCCATGTCCACCCAGCACTGGTACATCACTCAAAAGATATGAACGACCCAAGTGTCCCAGGGCAGATTAATGTGTAAATAAAATGTGGTATAAACATACAATGAAATATTATTCAGCCTTAAAAAGGAGAGAGAGCCAGACACTGGTGGCTCATGCCAGTAATACTAGCTGTTAAGGAGGCTGAGATCTGAGGATCAGGGTTCAAAGCCAGTCCAGGCAGGAAAATCTATGAGACTCTTATCTTCAATTAACCACCAGAAAACAAGAAGTGGAGCTGTGGCTCAAAGTGGTAGAGCCTAGCCTTAAGCAAAAGAGCTCAGGGCCATGAGTTCATGCCCCATGACCAACCAAGAAACAAAAAAAAAAAAAAGGAGAGAAGATTCTGACATATATTATGACACAGATGAATCTTAAGGAAATTTTTCCAAGTGAAAGAGGCCAGTCACAAAGGGCTATACTATATGAAGTTCAGGGTAGTCAGAACCACAGATACAGGCAATGGCTGCCAGGAACTATGGGAGGGAGTTACAGAGTGAATGTTCAATGTTTAATGTATATGTTTTTTACAAGATGAAACAGTTCTAGAGATGGATGGTAGTGGATGAACTTTATGCCATGAAACTGAATACTTAACAGTAAAGTTGAAGGCCTAGAGTTACGTTCAAGTGGTCTAGCACCTGTCTAGTAATTATGAGACCTTGAGTTCAAATCCCAGTACTGCCCCTAAAGACACAAAAAGAGTTAGGATGTGTATATTTATCATAATTATATAAGAAAAAATCCCATAAATAAACAAGCAAAGCAAAGAAGAGCTTTGCACTTCTGGTGAAGCACAAATGAAGAGTGTGGACACAAGGGGAAAGCTATGCTCTTTGAAGGGAGGTAGAAGTAAATCTGTTGGCTCTTACATGACCAACAAGGAGGTATTAATGGTCTTTATTTAATGTGGGGGTACACTATAAATTGAAAATATCAAAAATCACGAATTTAATACAAAATTAAAAAAACCCTAAATCTGTGATTCTGCTGAGTGTGTATCTGTCTTGTACCATTGAAAAGTTTTTTTTTCTGTATATATTTTTTATTGTAAAAATACTGTACAGAGGGTTACAGTTACATGAATAAGGTAATGAGTATATTTCCTAATGAGCATTGTTACCTCCTCCCTTGTTTTTCCCCTACCATCTCCTCCCTCCCCAAATCCTCCTCCCTAGGGGGCTCCTAGGGGAGCTCTATGTGTAGTCTTTTCAAGAAACTCCACAGTGCTTTCCAAAGTGATTGAACAAGTTTACACTCCCACTAACAGTACAGTTAGGTTTCCTTCTGGTCACATCCTCTCCAGCATCTGTTAGATTTCTTGATTATAGCCATTCTAACTGAGGTGAGGTGGAATCTCAATGTTGTCTTGATTTGCATTTCTTTTATGACTGGTAAAGTTGAGCATTTCTTTATGTGTCTATTGGCCATTCTTATTTCTTCTTCAGGGAAGTTTCTCTTTAAGTCTTTAGCCCACTTATTAATCAGGAAGTTGTTTCTTTGAGGATTTATTGCTGGGAGATTTAACTTTTTGAGTTCTAAGTGTATTTTAGATATGAGACCCTTGTCCGTTGCATGGCTAGTGAAGATCTTCCTCCCAGTCCATGGGCTTTCTATTGATCTTGCTAGCTATGACCTTTGCCATGCAGAAGCTCTGAAATTTCATGCAGTCCCATTTGGCCAACCTTTCTTTGATTTGTTGTGTTTCTGGGTCTTTATTAAGAAAATTTTGGCCTGTGCCAAGGAGCCCTAGAGTTTCTTCTATTCCTTCCTGTAATGTTTTCAGAGTGTCTGCTTTGACTTTGAGGTCTTTGATCCATTTGGAGTTATTCTGGTGCAGGGTGATATATAAGAATCTAGCTTTAGTTTTCTACAGGTGAGTAACCAATTTTGCCAGCATCATTTATTGAAAAGGCTGTCTTTCTTCCATTCTACTTTTTAGCTCCCTTATTGAAGATTAGGTGGTTATAGGTCTGTGGGTTCATTTCTGGGTCTTCAGTCCTATTCCACTGGTCCTCAGGTCTGTTCTGCCAGTACCAAGCTCTTTTTTATTACTATAGCTTTGTAATAGTTTGAAATTTGGAATTGATATTCCTCCAGCGCTATTCTTCCTGCTAAGGATTGTTTTTGCTATTCAGGGTCTTTTATTGTTCCATATGAATTTTTGGATTGCTTCTTCTATTTCACTGAAGAATGAGGTTGGGATATTGATAGGTATCTCATTGAATTTGTAGATAGCCTTTGGCAGTATTGCCATTTTCATGATGTTAATCCTCTCAATCCAGGAGCATGGGCGGTTTCTCCACTTCCTTAGTTCTGCTTTAATTTCCTTTTTCAGGTTTTTAAAGTTTTCATCATAGAGGTCCTGTACTTCTTTAGTTAACTCCTAGGTATTTTATTTTTTGTGGGGCTATTACAAAAGGGGTTGCTTTCCTAATTTCAGCCATGCTCTTCTCGTTATTGGCATACAGGAAAGCCATTGATTTGTGAGGGTTCGAATCAGCTTGAGTAACCTGGGAGTGGAATCCATAGCGTACTTAAAAAACACAAGATCATGTCATCTGCAAAGAGGGAGTTTTACTTCATCTTTCCCTATTTGGATCCCCTTTATGTTCGCATCTTGTCTTATTGCTGTAATTAGGCATTCTAATACTAAATTGAAGAGGAGTGGAGAAAGCAGACATCCTTGTCTCATTCCTGAATTTAGAAGAAATGGGTTTAGCTTTTTGCCAGTAAGCATAATGCTGGCTTTAGGTTTGTCATTCTCAGCCTTTATTATATTGAGGAATGTTCCATGGATTCCTAGTTTTTCCAGAGCTTTCATCATAAGGGGTATGGAATCTCGTCAAATGCTTTTTCTGTATCTATTGAGATAATCATGTGGTTCTTATCCTTGCTCTTATTGATGTGATGAATTGTATTAATTGATTTGCATATATTGAACCAGCTTTGCATTCCTGAAATGAATCCTGTTTGATCGTGGTGTAAGATTTTTTTTTTATGAATTATTGAAGTCAATTGACCAAAATTTTGTTGAAAAGTTTTGCATTGATGTTCATCAAAGAAATGGGTCTACAGTTCTCTTTCTGATGAGTCCCTGCCCCGTTTTGGGATGAAGGTTATGATAGCTTCATAGAAAGAGTTTGGTAGTGAACTTTCACTTTCAATTTCATTGAAGTGTTGGAGGAGTATTGGTGTGAGTTCTGCTTTGAAGGCCTCGTAGAATTCAGCAGTAAATCCATTCGGTCCTATGCCTTTCTTGGGTGGGAGGTCTCTTATTGCTGTTTCTATTTCAATGCTTGATATTGGTTTAAATTGGTTTAAGTTGATTTAAATCATCTTGGTGTAGTTTTGGCATGCTAATATTTGCAAGAAATACATCCATATCTTTCAGATTCTCAAAAGTTTGAGAAGTATTCCCTTATACTGTTCTGAATCTTGGTTGTTTCTATGGTGATGTTTCCATTCTCATCTCTGAGTTTGTTTATTTGGGTATGTTCTTTTTTTTCCCTCATAACTAAAGTTCTATTTTAAGGGGGGGGCTTATTTTGAATATTTAAGTCATTGTATTTTCACCTGCATACTTGTTATAAGGATTAGCATATGACTGCACATAGAAGACATGTAATTTGTGGTAGAGCTTACAAAACAAAAGAAGGAAGAAAATAAGGGAAAAATAGGAAAAAATAAAGAGATGAAATATTGGAAGTATGTAACATTACTAAGAATTGCCTTGATGTCACTTGTATTAAATTTGCCACATGTCAGATTCTGTGAGATATCTCTAATGTGGCAATGACAAGTCATGCTCAAAGACAACTGGGTGGCAGAGAATTTAGAAGCTATCTAAAATGGAGCAAATAATTAAAATAACAAAGTAGATAATTCTAGCTTGTAAAAATTGACTTTAAAAAATCCTAGATTTTGATAAGTTTTAGAAAACCAAACACTTAGGAATGTTTAAAAAATCTTAATCATCCATGCCACGTGCCAGTGGCTCACACCTGTAATCCTAGCTATGGAGGCTGAGATATGACTATCACAGTTCAATGCCAGTTGGGGCAGAAAAGCATGTGGGCCTTTTACCAAAAAAGCCAGAAGTGGTAGAATGCCAGCCTTGCTTGAGCACAAACGCTCAGGAACTGCACCTAGGCCCTC